ACACACACACACACACACACACACACACACACACACACACACACACACACACACACACAGAGTTAACAACCTTCCATTTTCAGTCTAACAAATATCCTTCCTTCCAGGATTATTGCAATGTGTAACTTCCAGTAATAATCTGAGCAGTTTTCTCAGCTTTTAGAGGCAGGAAATGAGCTCAGTGAAGTCTGAACTAACCTCACGGCGTCTTTAAGGCAGCAGAGCTGAACTAATTACAAAGTGCCAGTTAATCATACACAGTGGGGTCACGCTGCAAACACAAAAGGTTGAAAATGTTTATTAAAGACATAAGAGGCGGAGACTGTTCCATTACAAGTGACTGCTGGCGGCTTTAAATTAAAAAATGTCCCCTAAACCTAATGAGGGCAGAACCGGTGGACCAGGTCCTGCTGGAGGATTAATTTTCCACCACAGTCCACTCTGTTGTTTGCTTTGTGTCTTTGTCTCGGTGACATTGACAACATATTACATGATCGTTTTAGGTCAGAGAGTTTCAAATGTCCCCTGGATCAACACAGATTTATGAGCTTTCTTCACCTCTACACCTTGGTTAACTCTCATAGTTGTGGATTTAAACTTATAACAATATTACTGATTCCAAATATTATTTCAAGATCATCATATTGAATTACTTTACGAACATTTTATATTTGTGGATTTAAAAGCATCCTGGCTTCTATCTGTTGAATTCTGATGATTGAATTGTAAAGACTCTTTATCTGCCACCTCCTGTTGTCAAATCCAGCAAACCCAGGCAATCACTGCACCTCCAGCATTGTTTTATTTCTCTGACAACTTCTGCAGACGCTCTGTGCTCTGCTGAACATGGAAAAAAAGACAATTATCTTGCGTACTTCTTCACGCTGGAGTCACACGGCAAGATTATTGTGCTGATTTTTATCATGACGGCTCTAAAGATAATCTTACGACATATTCCTGTCGTGTGTTAACAGTGTTCTAGTCGGTTCAGATGGACGTATGGACTGCTCCAATCACAAATCTGGGATTTTCAACATGTTGGATTGTCTAGGCCCGATATCCCAGTAGGGTCAAGTACACTTCGCTGCAGCATGCAGCTCGGGGCGGTGACAGACCTTTCCGTCAGTCCCATACCTTATATGGAAATGGGACTATT